CAAGCAAAAACTATTATGAAGAATACATTTTTCTCGTAAAATGAAAAATAAAGAAGTTTCTCCTCTTGGCAACCCTATCCGGGGACATACTGTATATAACTTTACTTTCGTGTATGTTTTCCTAAAAACTTTTGAATTTTTAGTTATTTTCCGAAATTTTAGCGATTTTAAGTTACTAAGTGAAGAGGACGATTTTGGTTGGGAAGGTGAAGAAGAGAAAGAATTAGAAGGTATATTGTTAAGATATGTTTTACTAAGTAGGCTACATTTTATTTTCTTAGATACAAATGAAAACATTGAGACCTATAAAGAACCACATGAACTTCACACTGAAGAACCAGAAGAATTTCCTCACGAAGAACCAGAGGAAATTTCTCACAAAGAATCTGAACCAGACGTGCCCATAAACCTATTCTATTCTTTACGTCAGAATTTGCATTTTGTGGATGTAATTGTGCAAGATTCTTATCACTACCCTTGGATGCGAAACTTGAATGTAAAGCAGTATGTAAAGAATAAACCAACTCGCTGGGGTATCAAAATATTGGCCTGTATTTGGCTGGCTGTACGAATTTCTGATTTATCAAGGATCGGCCACGGAGTTGAATGGGATAAAGGTATGTTGAAAACATGCCTTCGTGGTACTAAAACTTGCAGATATAATTGACCAACCAAATATTCAACTATATTTTGACAACATTGTAAGTGAGAAGGTTGAAGCTATTCTAACCAAGGGGTTTTATAACAAAGCCCTCGACTTTTCTAGGTATAGGCAAAATGGATTTATGCCGACGATGGTAAAAAACTGAAAAACAATATTTGCATTTACTGCACATTCGTCAGATCAAATAAATGGACTATGCGAAGACGACCTGCAAGAAGACCTATAATGGAAGTAAGATTGGACGGTATCGGTCATTTGCCGTCAGTTGATAAACAATATTCAAATCGTTGCAAAAACTTTGGTTTCAAAGCAAAAATGCAATTTACTTGTGTAAAATGTCAAGTACCTTTATGCATTTCGAAAAAAATAGTTGTTTAGAATATCATAGTTAAGCCTGTTCTTTTTTGTATTTTCTTATTAAAGATTAATTCCTGATACCATTTGTTCACACTGTCCTAAATTTAGTACAAGCTGTACCTACTTCAAAAGGTGGCTATAAAAAATGTTTGGCAGGTTAATAAAATTAAAAATAAGTTAGTGTATGTACCAATTTTAACATTTTACTTATATATGATAATTCGTAAGCGAATGGGTTAAAGTGAAAAATTACATTTTTTGCCCTGAGCTGTTTATATATTCTTCAAATGTTGCAATACTTTATTATTTTTATTTGTTAGTAATTTGAGTATATCTTTTTGATTATTTTCCTCATTATAATATGAACCAATCAAAAGCCTTGAATTTTCGAATAAATTTCGTTTAAATAAGCGATTAAATCACTAGAACTATTTAACAAATTTTAGCCTCCATATTGGATTTTTGTTTACGATTTTATGGTGTTATTTACAAGTTTTAACAAACATTTTTTAAAAAACAATAAAAAATAAGTTATCTAGTTTACGAAATATCAATTATTACTTATTGCATACCTACCTAAAATTAATGGAATTTTCTTAAAAAAAAATATTTATAAATTTTGACACATACGTCAGATTTTATGAATTGTCAAATAGTTTCCTTTAAAGCTTAATTTTCATGTATCCGTTTGTCCGTCAGTCCGTTCATCCGGGAGCGCTCTTATTGGTCCAATTATAATTCGAAAACTTCGTACGTCTGACAGAGAAAGGTTAAATAATTTTAACTCATCTGTCACTACACATCTGTTTTTGACGCCTAACGTTATTTTAAAATAATTTATTTTCAAATATTTTTATATTTTTTCAATAAGATTGTAAAACGGAAATATTATGTTGTGTTATGTGAATAATGTTTTACTGTTAAGTTTTTTTTTAAATAAGAATAACGGAAAAAAAGAAAGGACAAACAAAAAAAATTAAAACTAGAACTAAAAGGACCTGCTTTTTTAAAACTATACATTTTAATGTATATTAGGGCTAGTATATTCTTTTTATAAGGTATATTTACCTACCTTTAAATTTATTAGACAGCTAACTGTTAAAGTTACAATTGTTGACATAATTGTAACTATGACAATTAAGCATTAGGTAAATTTAGTAAGTGAATATACTGACACTTAATTTCTATTTGTCGCAAAATCAATCCGTGAAACGTCATTAAAAAACGTATGCATGAAAATTAGAACATTTCTTATCGGACGATTTTATTGAAAAACTGACATACGGATGACGGACAAACGGATACATGAAAATTAAGCTTTAAGCTTAATTTTCATGTATCCGTCTGTCCGTCAGTCCGTTCATCCGCGAGCGCTCTTATTGGTGCAATTATAATTCAAAAATTATGACATTTTTTCCGTCCGTCAAGTTTTAACTTCGTACGTCTGACGGAGAAATTTAAAATAATTTTAACTAATCTGTCACTACACATCTGTTTTTGACGCCTAACGTTATTTTAAGATATTTATTTTCAAATCTTTTAATATTCTTTTAATAAGATTGTAAAACGGAAATATAACGTTCGTTATGTGAATAATGTTCTACTTTTATGTTTTTATTTAATAATAATAACAGAAAAAAAGAAAAGAACAACAATAAAATATTAAAACCAGAACTAAAAGGACCTGCTTTTTTAAAACTATACATTTTAATGTAAATTAAGGCTAGTATATTCTTTTTATATGGTATATAAATTTACCTACCTTTAAATTTATTAGACAACTAACTGTTAAATTTACAATTGTTGACATAATTGTAACTATGACAATTAAGCATTAGGTAAATTTAGTAAAGTGAATATACTGACTCTTAATTTTTATTTGTCGCCAAATCAATCCGTTAAACATCATTAAAAAACGGATGCATGAAAATTAGAACATTTCTTATCGGACGATTTTATTGAAAAACGTACAAACGTATAACGGACAAACGGATACATGAAAATTAAGCTTTATTCGAGAAATAATCTAAACGTATATCACTCAAATACTATAAATTTAATCTGCCAAACTATGCTCAGTAAGTTTTTTATTTGATTTTTCTTTTTGGAAAATAGTTTCATGCAAAATAATTAAAAATAAAATTATTTAATTAAATTAAATTATTTTATTATTAATAAAATTATTAAATTATTAAATTATTTTGCATTCAACATTTTCCAAGAAAAACCAAACAAAAAACTACTGAGTCTAGTTTAACCGATTAAATTCATAGTTCTCGTGATATAATATATGATTAAATATTTTTTGCCATTTAAAAATAATCGGATTTTTCAATGTAATAAAAAAATGATCGACATTTAAAAAATAATAATATAAGGATATTTAATTTATGTACATAATAGTATATTAAAGTACAAGTTGCAGAAGGCCACATATTCTCGCACGAATTCGAAATTTGGCCTCGAGCGACGAAGGAGCGAGTGGACGAACGAATGAGTGCGAGAATAGCCTTCTGCAACGTGTGATTTATACTATTTTCTCGATTTTAACTTTTATTTAGGTTTTTTTAATTGTTTTGTGGTCGTTGTTAGTTAGGGGATTTTTCTCGCAAAATGTCAGTTGGCAACACAAAATGACAATATTTGTTATCCTGCACAAGTACAACCTGAACTGCACTTTTACACATTAAACTTAAAATTTTGCATTAAAATGCATTGTTGGAGCAAACTTTATATTACAAAACAATAATAAAGGCTTCATTTTCAATAAAAGTAATGAATTTGAGGTTATTAATCAGTTTGACATTTTGGGGGTACCAATACTTAAAAACTAAATGTTACCAAAAATCGTTTAAGAAGGAGCTTCATTCTTCAACGATTTTGCGTGCGAGAATATGACATTCTTACATAAAAATCGAGAAACAAGTTTTTCTACTCCTTTACAACGCCCTTTATTGTACATGTTTCCATGACACTAAGTGACCTTTTAAATACACATTGACGAGTTGTGGCTTTATGGCGCTTAAGTCACGGGCTGAAGTTAGCAACATGTTTTTAGTCACGGGTTGAAGTTAGTTTTAAGTTAGTTGACAGTTGTCAAATGTCATACAATCGTTAAAATAAAGTTTATATGAAAATTTGCCGGCAGTAAACTATATTTAACTTAATTTCTGGTGGATACTTTACTTTCACTGTTAAAAAACTGCTTCTATGTCGGCTTAAACGTCCATTTTTAAGGTATACATTTCGATTTAAAAATAACAGTTTGAAATTTTCACAGGTGCTCCGGTCCCCACTTTATTGTTCTATAGATGTCGCTTTATACAAATAGATGTCGCTTTATACAAATATTTAATTCAAATCATTTTTAGATAATAATAAGTACTTGTCGTAGAAAAAGTATAGTATGCAACTCGTTTATAAAGTTTTCTAGACACTCATTTAATTAAGCACTCTTTTGTAAGCTCGGTCGTGCCTAAATTAAATTTGTGTCTAAAATGGCGTTTATTAAACTTGATACCTAATATACTATTAATAAACACATTAATTTAAAGTCCCACCATATTCAATTTTAATTTTGGCTAAAACTATTACAAAGTAAGCAGCAATTATTTAAAAAATAACAATAATGAAGACAATTATAAAATAAAATAAAATAAGAAGTAACATTTTTATTTACGTACGCCGCACACCTTGCACCCCCGGGTAGCGAGGGCCCTGCCAACAGTAAATTTTATTTTTGATCTTTTTTCCTCACTTAATCCTTTGGTACAGTATAAACGCTGGGTCTGGCTGTAAAAGTAATTACCATTTTTCAAAAGTAATGGATAGCAGAGCTATTACTGTTATTGCGCAATTAATTCAATTTCCCCGAAAACGTAATTAACCAAATTTATAACCCACCTTAATGAATTTTCTTATAATGCTCCGCCATCATCATTTTGGCAATAAAAATACCACCTTAATAAAAATTATATTTATTTTGTCAAAAATTATTACAAACAGGTCTTGAAAAAGTCTCTTATCACGAAGTCTGAGTCGTCTTCGGTGTTAAAAACTGAGTAGCCTATGTTGGCTGTTAAAGTTGTATCTGAGTCAGAGTAGGCGTTGCAATCACAGTCCATTTGATGCTCTAGAACATCCCTGAAATGTCCTTGAAATTTGCATCCTAGATTTTGAAACTTACATGGGTATTCTAAAGTTGAATCGCATTTGAAGTTTGATGTGTCAGTGCATACAGGTGCTAGACAAATGTAGCAAATTTTTGTGATTTCAACACAGTATAAACATACTTGGTGACCATTTGTACAGTAATAAACAAAGTTGTCGATGTAATAGTTGCATAGGGGGCATTTATTTTCTTCAAGGAATAGAGGGTTCACCTTCATGTAGCCTTTACTATCTGATTTTGAATCAGTTGGTGGTTGTTTGATTTTTGTATTGGGTTTATTTTCTTTACTTTTTGTAGTTTTGTTCTCACGAAACGAACACACATTCTGGTGGACGTTAACGTTATCGTAGTAGCTCTTAAAATCGCAACCTTTTTCTTTAAACTTACAGGGGAACTCCAAATATTCGGCTATCTCTTCAAGAACGTAGCTTCTTTCATCAGATTTACATTCTGAGCACTCGTGACACTTTTTAAGCTTCCCAAAACATTCATCACATTGATTGTGGCCCTTTTTACACTGATATATTGGTGGTAACATGTACAGCTCACAATTAGGGCACTTAAAATCTTGTATTATATTAGGATTGAAGGTAATTTTCACCATCTAAAATAAAACAGTTAGTTTCTAAAAAGAAGTCTCAATACAACATGTTTAGTCTAAACCAAACCAAGGTAACTGAATTATAAAATAAAAACATTTTGACTAGACTCTCTAAAATTGAAAAGTGCAAGTTAACTCAATAAAAACATGGTATAAAATCGTTTATGTAAATAAAATAAAATATTTTCATACCTTCAATATTTGTTGTACATAAAGCTATATCGAATTAAAGAATTAACAAACACAAATGAATTTACAGTACAAAAACAACACAACAATTTGATTTAATTTTTTATTATTATACTATACAGAACGTATTGATTTTATATAAACCTATTAACAATTGTACGAAACAATATCATATATCAATTCATTTTTAATACAGCTTAGAAAGAAGTCACTTAAAACGTTATTAGAACAATCCTTATTAAAAAATAGTGAAAAATATTGTATATTCTTATTATTTTCTTTTGTATTTATATCAAAAATAAAGTCGCAGTTGTCTTGATGTTTCTTACAATCTTGCCAGGGTCCTTGGAATCTGCATCCGATATTTTTGTTGACACAGGGAAATGTTAAGTGATCTGCTAGCTCTTCCCAAGTTTCATTCCTTCTTTTTAATGATTTTTCTCCACATCCAGGACAGTTTATATGCTTCGCTAAACATTTATTACAATAATTATGCCCATTGGAACAGTCGTAGATAGGTGGGAACATATAAACATCACATAGCGGGCACCTAAGCAACTCTTTAAGGTTTTGATTGAACACTACGTGACATTTTGGTATTACAATGATTTTTAGGGCACATAATTTTCATTTTATTCTTAAAAAGCGTACCTCATTTTTTACCTCAAAAAATATTTTCACCTGAATACTTTTAATACTACACACTAATGACATTTAATACCAATTTGTAGTAACCTTACAGGATTTATTTCCGTGAGAAATTGCTTTTATTGGCGCATTAGCTTTAATATTTATGTTGCGATTTTTCATTGCAAAATATGACTATACAATAATAATAAACTTTATTAACTGTAAAAGAAAACCATAAAATATAATAATTAGAATAACAATTGTTTAAGTCAACATATTCAGCAGTAATACTATAGTATATATGAGTACCTTAGATGCAAAACTCGGTTTTTGCAAATTAAAAAATAAAATAAAATTGACTTTAAATTCTGTTTAGTGTTCGTCCTAGATAAATGGCGTTCATAAAACTTGATACATAATAATATTATATTATATATATTATTATGTATCAAGTTTTATAAACGCCATTTATCTAGGACGAACACTAAACAGAATTTAAAGTCAATTTTATTTTATTTTTTAATTTGCAAAAACCGAGTTTTGCATCTAAGGTACTCATATACACTAATTTTTAGCCTAAATTGTTTCTTAAATTGAACTAAGTTCAAAGAAAAAAATTATTATTATTATTATTGTAATGCTTATGTATACCTGATTCAACATAAAATTCCCTGGAATTTAACCTATTGTTTATTGCATTTGCCTAGAAATAAGGAAAATACTTTTTGTTTAAGTAGCCCAGGTAGTTTTTTGGCTGTACTGCTTAAGATTCTTAAACAACATACATATATCTGTGTGGTACTTATTTTTAAGGATTTTAAATTCCCCATATAAAGATACTATCATATACAGTTAATTCCATTAAACAACTTTGATATTAAAGAAGGTAGTTTTTTGGCATTGCTGCTTTTATTTATTTTACTCATTTTTTAGGATTTTTCATTCCCTACTAAATGATACCATTTGATCAAAATACTGATTTTGTAGGTAATTTTTGGCTATGGCTGTATACTACTTTTGCATTGAACGAAATATATCTTTGTAGTACTCATTTTGTTGAATTTTAAATTTTCCATAAAATGAAACCATAATATATAGTCAATTACATTGAACAATTGTAATATTAAAGAAGGTAGTTTTTTACTATACTGCTTTTGTTTTAGCCATTTGCATTTGGTATATCGATTGGCTCATCCCATGAAATTTTTTCGAATGTTTTAGGTATGAAACGCGTAGCAGCAATATTTGTTCAAAAATTGTTAAATTTTGAACAACATTTTTGGCCAAAAACAATACTGTAATGATGCCCCAGCCTCCATATTCGCCAGACATGCGTCTGTCTGACGAATATGGTCGTTTTGCAATCATAGATGACATTAAAAGCGCATCGCTGAAGGAACTAAAGGCTATCCCAAAGATCGAGTTTTAGAAGTGTTTCGAGTATTGGAAGAAGAGCTGGCACATGTGCATAATCTTCAATGGGGACTATTTTGAAGGCGACAACATTAATGTAGATGAATAAATAAATATTTTTTTCAAAAAACGAAAATTCCCGATATTTTCTGAACACACCTCGTATATCTGTGTGGTACTTATTCTTAAGGATTTTAAATTACCCATGTAAAGATACTATCATATACAGTTAATTCCATTAAACAACTTTGATATTAAAGAAGGTAGTTTTTTGGCTATACTGCTTTTATTTGTTTTACTCATTTTTTTGGATTTTTCATTCCCTACTAAATGATTCCATAATATACAGTCCATTTGATCAAAATACTGATTTTGAAGTAGGTAATTTTTGGCTATGGCTATATACTGCTTTTGCATTGAACGAAATATATATTTATAGTACTCATTTTGTTGAAATTTAAATTTTCCATAAAATAGTCGTCAATTACATTAAACAATTGTAATATTAAAGAAGGTAGTTTTTTACTATACTGCTTTTGTTTTTAACCATTTGCATTTATATGGTACTAATTTTTCAGGATTTTAAATTTCCCACAAAATGACACTTTGATATACAGTCTATTCCATCAAACAACTCTGATATTAAAACAGGTCGTTTATATTTATATAATAATAATAATAATTTATTATTGGTTCCTATTTTTGAGGATTTTAAATTTGACACAAAATAACACCAATATATACTGTCTATTTCAACAAACAACTGTAATTTTAAAAACAATAGTTTTTTTGGACATTCTGCTTTTGTTTTTTAAACAAAATATATCTTCATAGTACTCATTTTTTAAAATAATTATAAAAAATAATTATTATTATAATTATTATAAATACTCCAAAAACTACACCATCATATACAGTCTATTGAATAGACTGTATATGATGGTGTTTTTCAATCTTTTTGACTTCGCGACCCCTTTACATATTGAAATATTCTGGCGACCCCCAGTGTCAACGAATCATCATTATTAGCTAGCTACAAAATCGCATATCGAGTTGCTAAAGCAGGGAAACATCATACAATTGCCGAAAATCTTATTTTGCCAGCAGCACTTGATATGGTTGAAATTATGGTCAGTAAGCAGGAGGCTAACAAATTAAAAAACATACCACTTTCTGACAATACTATTTCACGCAGAATAAACGATATGGCCAAGGATATTCAAGAACAAGTAGTCGAAAAATTAAAGAACAGCCAACATTTTGCTTTGCAGTTTGACGAATCTACAGATGTTTCCGACTGTGCACAGTTTGTAGTATTTGTGCGCTTTGAAGCAGATGACAGTATCATGGAAGAAATCTTATTTTGCAAAGCACTTCCTGCAAACACTACTGACCAGTGTTTGTACGATATGTTTTTAGAAAACACTTGCGATTACCATATTGATTGGAAAAAATGTATCGCTATTTGTAGCGATGGCGCTAAAGCTATGACTGGCAAAAATAGCGGACTCATTGCAAGATTAAAAGCTATAATGCCAAACATATCCTGGACACACTGTTTTCTTCATCGACAGGCTCTAGCTGCTAAGGTAGTATCTTCTGATTTAAATGACGTGCTCACGGAGGTCATAAAAATTGTAAATTCTATCAAAGGTAAAGCTTTGCAAACCCGGCTATTCAGAAACGTTTGTGAAGATATGGGCTCGCTTCATCAAAATCTCCTTTATCACACAGAGGTCAGGTGGCTATCCAAAGGAAAGGTATTGACAAGAGTTCTGGAACTGAGAGCTGAATTGTTAATGTTCTTACAAGATGCAAAATCTGAATATGCTTCTCGTTTTTCTGACCCTATTTGGCTCTTGAAATTAGCATTTTTGGCAGATCTTTTTAGCCACCTTAACAATTTGAACAAGAACCTTCAAGGAAGAGAAGAAAATATTTTAACAGCCAAAGATAAAGTAAAAGCATTTCACGCAAAACTTCGTTTGTGGGTAAAATAAGCTCTTAAATTATTAGAGCCATTCGCCACTTCATACTTGTGTGAATTGACATTTTCTTCAATGGTAGACATTAAAACTAAAAAGAGAAATAGACTGCAATTAGAAAATGATTTGATTATTAACGTTTCAAAAATAGCACCACAATTTGATAAACTTCTGAAAAATAAACAAGCACATCCTTCTCACTAAAATTGCGTTTTTATTATGTAAGAACCTCGACTTTTTCTTTTAGCCGGCGACCCCCCGAGTAAGGCGTCACGACCCCCCCTAGGGGTCGCGACCCACAGATTGAAAAACACTCTATTCCATCAAACATCTGTGATATTAAAGAAGGTAGTTTTTTGAACAAAATATATTATTATGATACTCATTTTTCAGGATTTAAAATTTTCCATGAAATGACACCATAATATATAGTCTATTTCATCCAACAACTGTTTTATTAAAAAAGTTGGCTTTTGGCAAAACGGCTTTTATTTTTTTAAACAAAATATTTCTTTAAGGTACTTATTTTTAGGGGATTTTAAATTTCCCACGAAATGACACGCACTCTGATATGTGTATAAAAATTATTGTTTTGGCATTAATTGGGGTAGTTTATTAGCAGTTATATGCATTGATAGGCGTGCGACCGTTGCAACGCGTTGGCATGTTTTTTGAATTATCGGGCGAACACCTGAAATCCCACATGATGCGAAACAAATCCTTGAACGGAAAAAATATACACTGTAGCTGAACTCGAGCAATTTTCAACGATATATTTCTCGATTAATACGAAAATACCCAGTTGATGTGTCAATTAGCACCATGATAAATGAATAATGAACTTGGAAAATGTTATGGATTTTAGATTTATTGGGAAAATTGGGAAATTCAGGTCAAAATAATGAATTGCTTTTTAATTTTGTTAAAAAATAACTAAATTTTAAAGCATATAAAAATGCATAAAAGATTTTTTTAATCATAAAAAATTTAGAATTTATATAAATAAAACTACCCCTAAAATTATATAATATTTATTTTTAATTAAAATTAGTACGAAATTTACAAATTAGTTCAGATAAAGGCATTATCGTTTTTTTATTATCGTATGTCGTTTAACATGAGGGCATATTAATATTAATTACACAGCCAAAACTAATGAAGCAAACTAGAGATTACAAAATTGGTAAAGCCATAACAACAATACTCTGCAAATGTTAGATAAATATACATTTCATTGCGAACAACATGTTACAAATTACAAATCAAATTATGTTTATGTATATATAATGGCAAAGTCGTTTATAATAAATATATAATAGTTACTCTTTGTGATATTAATAATATTATAAAATCAAGTTTAATTATTATTCAAAAAAAAAACAATGTATATGAATACAGTGTTTATAAAAAACAGGTTTTTATCCTGCTTGTCTAGGGTGTTTGGGTCCGCTTTTCCTGATACCATTCCTCTTCCCCCTCCCCTTTTTCCCCCATGACTTCGGCTTGGTCTTCTTCCAATTACAGTACGTCCACTGGCATGTTTTTTGATGCTTTAAAACATCCTTGTAGTACCCTTTGAACTGACACCCATTTATTTCGCACTCGCACGGGAATAGCAAATTTTCTGACCACATTTCCATCAACTTGTGACGTTCTTCTGAAACAGGCGCTCTACACGTGTCGCATCCTCCAACAAGCTCAAAACATTTTTTGCAAAAAGTATGGCCGTTCACGCACTGAGAAATCGGCGGGAAAAGGTAGATATCGCAGAGCGGGCATTTGAAGTTTTTTATTATAGAAGGGACATAGGACAATTTGGGGCTCATCTGAAACGAAACGAAAAGGTTAAAATCTGTCAAATATAAATTTTTAAGATCAAACCCAAGATTTTTTAAATGCAATTTTTAATAATAATGTATTTTTGTTGGAATAGATTTCATACAAATTTGACTATTTTTTTTAAACTTTACACAAAATGTCAAAAATTTAAACTTTTACATTTTTATTGTAGATTTATTGTAGATTTAGTGCATACTGATAATAAAAACGATCATTAAAATGCAATTTTTAAAAAGAAAATGTATAAATGTATAGATAAGTTAGTATATCCTGAAAATTTCATACAAATTTGACCATATTTGTGGAAGATAAAAATATTTTTCAAAAACTTTGTGCAAAATGTCAAAATTTTAACTTTTCATTTTTTGCAGTGCCGGCGTGAGGCATGTGCAAACGGTGCGGTTGCACCCGGCCCCGCGTTTTATAGGCCCCGCGCGCATCAAGGCGTCTTAACGAAATTATTGTAGATTATAGCAACATGACAAGCTGTAAGCACAGCGTGACCAAAAATTATCTGGTCATTGCCAGAGATAATATCTTTAGTAAGTATCGTCATCAATTATCATTCAGTTCAATGTTGCTAAATGTGTATTTGAAGTTGCCTGTATCCGTTATTATTACGCCGGGAAAAGAGTTTTTACAAAATTAAAATTAATAAATAAATATTTAATATTAACAAGGTATGTGCCAAGAACGACTAGTGGGTTTGGCTACATTGTCAATAGAGGATGTTGGAAAAGAGCTTCCGCTAAAGCAGGGAAAAATTATGTGTGATTTTTTCTTAAACGTTAATTTCTATATTAATTGAAGGGAAAAGCTGAACCACCCAAGTGCATTTTTAAGTCAAAATTTTCTACTATCCGGTAACACGCTTAAAAAATTTTGACTTAAAAATGCGGTTTTAGCTCTAATCCCTTTAATTGGTTTTTGTTTGATGTTTTATTGGTTTATTAATTTTCAAGAGTAAATTCTTAGTTCAAGCCCCGCATTTTTCTTTTGCACCTGGCCTCTAATAAGCTAACGCCGGCCCTGATTTTTTGTCTAAACTTTATATAAAAATTCGATCTTAAAAATGCAATTTTCAAAAATATATATATTTTTTAGTATATCCTGAACATTTTATACAAATTTGAATATTTTTGTAGAAAATACAAATATTTTTTTAAAAATGTCAAACTCTTATTTTTTTTACTCTAAATGTAGTTTTAGTTTTTTACTGATAAAAATAGGATCTTTAAATGCAATTTTTAAATAGAATATACATTTGTTAGTATATCCTGAAAAGACAAATACCTATTAGGGTGTTTCAAAATAAGGCAATATTTTTCTTTTTTCAAATTCATGTGAAATTCTTGTTACTTATGCTGAAAAAAAAATCTGTCAAAATTTGAGCTCTTAATATTAATTTTAAAAGGTCCATCATCGAATTTAAAATTTTTCCATTGATTTAACATGGAAAAATAGTATTTTAAGATTTATTTTTGCAAAATTGTCCCTAAACTTTTTTTCCTACAGTAAATATTAAAATAATATATTATGCATAATCATGAAAATGGGATTTTAGACACTTATAACTTTTGAACTGTAGGTGATAAAAAAATTGACCCTAACGAATTTGTAAAACATTAAACGATCTTCAAAATTGCTAATTGACTTTTTTTCTACGATTTGTAGTTTAGCCGCTAAATGTAAAAATATCAAATTTTTTTAGAATTTAAATAAATAAAAAAAGAAACAGTTGAATCTACAAGATTTTTTGTAGATAATTTAATGCTAAAAAAGGACCAGTGATTGTTTATCAAAAAAAAAAAGTTCTACATAGCATGCAGGCGAAATAAATCTTAAAAAACTATTTGGGAAAACTTTAAATTAGACCTTTTAAAATTAATATTAAGAGCTCAAATTTAAAAAAAAATTTTGTTTAGCATAAGTGACGAGAATTTTACATGAATTTAAAAAAAGAAAAATATAGCCTTATTTTGAAACACCCTAATAACTATATTACACAAAATGTAATATGTTAATTTAAGTTTTAGGGTAAAATATATACATATAATTATAATATAATATTTGTTAGTATATCCTGAAAATGTTTTACAAATTTGACTATGGGCCCATGTTTTTTAAGTAATAAGCGAAAAATCAAAAAAATTGAACTTCTACGTGCCCCCCTGCATCCTGCTCACCTCCTAGGAGTTGTGACGTCTACCTTCTAACTAATCCACATAAAGTGAGGTCAAAAATTGTAATGACTATTTTTGTGGAATATATTTTTTTTAAACTTTACAAAAAATATCAACATTTCAACTTTTATTTTATTTATATTATAAATTTATTTCAGTTTTAGTGCACTAAAACTACATGAATAGGTACTGATAAAATTACGATATATAAAATACAATTAAAAAAAAAAAACTATCCTAAAACAATATACAATCACTCTAAACTTAACTCGTAGAGAATACTGATTAGAGATTTATAAAAAACTAAAAAAAATATCAATTTGAAAATATTTTCAATGCAAATAATGTGTAATTTTAAAAAAGAGGACTTAATACAGTTTGGCTCTGGTGTACAGATATTCATATTATTTGTCAAATATGAAAACCATCTAAAGCAAATTTTTGTTAATACTTCTCTCTTTAAATATTCATTTCAGCGATAGGGCATTTGGTACAGGTATACCTATATATCAAAAGAGATTATTCCGCATCAAATGGTGTAAACATTTTGTGGTCGTTTCTTTTGAAATAAGAAATTTATTGGTACCTATTTAAAGTTTCAAAAAAGTAAACAGTAAGTAACATTTTGGAATGGTATACCTTGAATGAACTTTTTAACATTACAATTGTTGGTAATACAAATATTTTAGCAAGTCAATCCTTCTGCCAATTTCTTTTTTTCAAAAAATTTAATATCTCAAAGACAATTGAAGATAGGAAAACGATTAAAAATTTAACGTACAATTTAAAAATGCAACATTATTTATAGGGTTATTTAAAAAAACAACATACTCTAGGTTTCGGTAACACCATTTTGAAAATATTTTAGAAGATCACATTTCTGTAGCTGCAACCAAAATTTCAGATTGATGTCTCATTTAGTTACACTTTTTAAAATATTTCTCCAAAATAATGTATTTTTGTTAGTATATCTTTTAAATTTTATAAACATTTTTGTAGAGGATATAGATATTTAAGAAAACAAACTACACAAAAGGTAAAAAAAATTGCTTCAAGGCATCAGGTTTTCGAGAAAGTCTGATCCAAAAGTGAAAATGTTTTTCCAATATTTTCTCCAATGATGAAGCAATTTTTATGTCGACTTTTTCGCCTAATAAATCTTCATAAATTTAAACAATAAAATATTCAATAAAATCCAATAGTTAAAAAAATTAGGTTATAAAACAATAAAATTAACATTTATTTAAAATAAAATATTTGTTGTTAGCAAAATAATAAATATAAATACCTTTAAAACAATAATATTAAAACAAATAAAACACAATTAATAAAATTAAAATAACACACGGAAATTTTAAAACAGTTTTAAATATAATCAGTGCATGTACCGAAAGCGTTTCGTTTAATAAAATAAACGTTTTTTATTTGCAATAAAAACTTAAAAAAAAAACACTAAAATCTGCATATTTTCAATACGTTTTAATAGATGTCGTTAAAATGTAATTAAAATTTAAATCTAATCGTTAAATGAATGAATTTTTTATTACCACTTTAATTTTGAAAATTTAAAGTACCTGTGTGCAGAGTTTTACACAAATTCCATCTAATAAATATAAAAATTGTCGAATAAGTTTTATGGGAATTTTTTTCTAATGGTAAATTTAGCTTTAAAAATAATGACAAAGTACTATTTATGACAGTTAAAACATTTCAAATGTTACTGAAAAATAACTTTAAGAAATTAAAGTGAGAAAGACATTTTTTTAAATTAAAACAAATGCCCATAAATTTTATAAATAAATAATTTCGCGTTGGTACTTGAATATAATTATTTTTAACTCTTGATCTTTTCCAGTTAACATGCAAAATTCGAATTGTAAAACTGGAATACATTTACCACAACTACTTTTTTATGTTTTGCATTAAAGTCAAAGTTTGTCCAGTGGTTATTCAAATTGAAAATTTACATAATAATTAATCTTGCAAAAATAAAACTGAAACTATAAATACGCACTATTTCGAAATTAAAATGCGTTACTAGGTTTATTTACCAACACATAAAAAATAAATACCTACCTTTTATTTATAATTAAAAAGTTAATCTATTTGTTATTTATGTATGTCAATAGATTTACCTAAACAGGGTGTCACGAAAAGTTGTCTATAAATTTATAATAATTTATTAATAAAGATGTTCTTTATTATATTTATAGAACCAAAAAACATATCAAAACAATTTTAACAATTAAAAAATGACAATGTTTTAATTGTTGGTGATTGATAAAATAGTTTTGATATTTTTTTGATTTGATAAATAAAGTATAAGTAGCAAACACCAATTTTGTCAAAATCAAATTTTTTATGTTATAATGTATACTATTACGATTTCATAGTGTATTATGTCTCAAGTTGGATAAACGCCATTTTAGACACGAATTTAATTTAGGCACGAGCGATCTTAGCGATCCTAGCGAGTGCTTAATTAAATGAGAGTCTTGAAAAGTTTATAAACGATACTTTTTCTACGACAAATACTTAGTACGGTAATGAGGACCCCCTAAGCAGTTTTGCTCATATTTTGGTTATTTTTCCGAAATTATTTAGGTTTATGTTATTTTAGCTTTAATTGATTATTAATAAACACAAATCCTTGAAAAATTTTATTTATAACAGAAGGAACACATTTTTATAAAAATAAAAAAAAGTCGAAAGGTCCTCATTATCCGCGGCGTCGGGAAATGAGGACCTCAAAGTAAAACTGCTCTCTATTTACAGAAATTCACATTACACATCTGTATCATAACGTTCACACAACGAAAAAGGTACGTAATATTAATAAAAAAAACATTAACGCAATTATTTTTTACATTAATTTTGCTCCGATGCTCAAAATCATTACCACAATGCTTTTAAAGTATTACTCAATGTACAAGGACGTAATATTAATGCTTGGCGGACATTGATTTTAATCAGGAAGATCTCAAATAAAAGTACTGATATTAATGACCATTGACATGGATTAATGTCCTAGTACATTAATTCTATGCCCAGTAAACATCAACCAATTAATAAATAACAATTAAAGAACATTATCCCAATCACCTAATATACATTAATTAATGATTTGTTAGCATTATCATAATGCAAAGAAACATTAATAGTAGGACTGAATTAAGGGATGGAAAAATATCGATAAATCGACATATCGATATCGGTATACCGGAATGGATCGATATACAGGGTATCTCAAAAGTCAAGGACAGCATTAAAGGGGTGGATAGAGGATGGAATTTTAAGTCGATTGAAAAACGGCAAAGACCATTCCACTTCCTCTATCCACCCCTTTTCTGCTGTCCTTAACTTTTGAGATACCCTGTATATATGTGTATATATATATATATATATAAATTATTACACTTACCTTAAGTTTTAACATTAAATCAATTTTTTGTTGATCAGTTAAAAAAAAGGAGCTAGAAATATGTAAAAAAATATATTAATAATTATTACTATTAATATTACTTATGTGGTGATGTTCTCTTTAGCCAGTTCCCTTTACAGAAGTTCCCAAACATTTTCTACAGGGTTTATGTCCGGGACACCGCAAAACTGGAACTGGAACTTTACATATTTCTAGTCCTTTTTGTAAATATTATGAAACTTAAGATTAATATAAAAAAATAATAAAAACCCTTGGTAATTTAAAATCCTTAAATTTATTAAAAAAAATTTATGAAACATAAATAAACCTTAACTTTTTAACATTGTCTTACTTACATTCTAAAAGTCACATAATACATGGATTTTGGAAAATGTATTAGAATGCTTTATTTTAAAAAAGTAGGTTTCAATAAATGACCAGACATACTTGCATTTTTAGGTGGTGGGAAACAACAGGGCCTAATAAAGGGTGGGCCATGTTTATGTTGAATTATAAAATAGCAATGAGAACAAGAAAAACTGATTTTTTTTCAACGAATTTTGCTTTATTTGATACAATGTTTCTTCCGATTAAGTATGGAAAATGATTTTATTAAAGTGGCCACCTCAGCTGGCTCGGCAGTAGCCCATCCTGGAACACCAATTTTCGAGCACTTTGTCAAAAGTTTGCTGCTCTATGTAGGCAATTTGAGCTTGAATGTTTTGTTTTAAATGGTGAATAGGCTTTGTTACGGTGACGTGTGGATTTTCTGTGGCCCAAATCCTACAGTTTTGCTTGTTGACATAACCTCCGAGGTAAAAATGCGCCTTATCTGAAAAGATGATTTTTCTTGCAAAATTAGGGTCATCGTTCAACTGATTTAAAGCCCACTTAGCAAAGCAAAAACGTTGTGGTTGGTCAACTTGCTTTAACTCCTGAACAAGCTGGACTTTGTACGCAAACATACCGAAGTCTTTGTGCAGAATCATCCTCAGAGTGGTACGGGAAAGGCCGAGTTGTTGACATCTGCGCCGAGTTGATATTGACGCGTTCATGCGTACATTTTCGGCCACAGCAGCGATTGCTTCAGGTGTACGTCTAGGACGAGCATGCGAAACATGTTTTATGTCCACCAGCATTCCATTTCTGCGCAATTTTTTGATCAAATTTGTAATACTTTGGTTTGACGGCGCCTCATTTCTTCCAAACGCAATTTTCATGCCGTCTTTGCGATCACAGTCACATTCAAACTAAGTTTTGAGTATTTCGAAACGTTGATCCAAATTTATTCGGTGCATATTTTGTAATCGGAAGGTTAAAACTAAACCACTGTCAACAATTCATGGCGCTTAAGTTGAAAGCTTCATTAATAGCACGTAGTTTAAAATTCAACTTATAGATGGCCCACCCTTTATTAATGTATTTAGACATTGGCTCAACGTATTTGGCGATAAAGTTATGATTTGTTGTATTATTTAATATGTTATAAAGGGCTCTTTTATAAAGGGCTCTTTTAGTTCCACCCTTACATCCAAACTAAGATGTCCCATAAGCCAACTAAATGGCTTGTGCGGGTTAGGGGTAGGAACGGACCGACATTAGGGCATTATATTCATGCTAGGGTACATAAGTTGATGTCTATATAGGCATTAATGTAATAATTTTAGATTATCAAATTATACCATTTAGAGTATTAATCTATTAAGCCTTGACATTAATTTTATCACTGAGCAATGATTAACTAATGTACTCTAGGTTATTGATTTAATGTAAATAATCATCGTATTAATGTAAAATATCATTGTCTTAATGTATTTTGGCTAAAAAATAATAAAATTCTTGCACTAGGATAATGACCAGGCAGACATTGTGACAATCCAATAATACATTAACTCATATTTTTTAAGCATTATCATAATTACTTGATTGCATTAATACTATGAGAAGGACATTATGGTAATGATTTTGCACTTAATGATCGTAGGACATTAATATCAGGTACGATATTTTTTTCTGTGTTGGCCTCGTTCAAATTTGACGCTGCATCTGGTACAGCTTCTTTAGGCTCTTGTATAGTTTCCAGAGGAAAAGAAGTTAAAGCTTTTGCTGGAGTAGTCTTAGTGGTTTTTCGGGATCTTAAAAGATCTTAAACGACGGTACAATCTCATGTACCATCTTCAGGTCTTATCTGCCGAGCTGCTGTTGCTGCTCTGCTGCGAGTTAGACGTGGAGTGAGCTCCGTTGCCGCTCATCGCTTGACAGCGATTGAACTTGTGTTATGTTCTGTTTATCGTCTCTTGTGTTGATGTTTCTTGGACGTTTTTCTATTTCAATGGCTTCACGGATGGTACGTTTGGTCCTGTGTTCGATGCTAGCCAAGACGTCTATTGGTCTGTCCCACGTAGCTTCCGTCATAATTCTTTCAAGGAATATCAAAAAACCCTAGTGCCAAACGCCAAACCAAAAATAAAGTCATGTAAACTTTTCAAATATTAATACTTTTATATTGAGGTAATAAAATAAATTTTACATTTAGTATTTTTTTACAAGAAGGGCACTTAATTTTAAAGATAGCTTAAAACTAACTTCAGCCCGTGACTAAAAGGCCATGAAGCCACAACTTGTCAATGCTTATTTAAAAGGTAACTTAGTGTCTTGTACGATAATGGGCGTTTTAAAAGTGGGAGTATAAAATAGTATATTATGTATCAAGTTTGATAAACGCCATTTTATACACGAATTTAATTTAGGCACGAGCGAGCTTGCGAGCGAGTGCTTAAATTAATGAGTGTATAGTAAAGTTTATAAACGAGTTGCATACTATACTTTTTCTACGACAAATACTTATTATTATCTTAAAATGATTTAAATAAAAATTTTTTATAGAGCGACATCTATGAAACAATTGGGGAATCTGTGTATCACCGTCAAATGTCAAATTTTTTCATTTTATAAATACAATTAGGTATAAAGGTTTTAAACCGAAATGTATTTCTTGAAAATTGACAGTTTTTCACAGTGAAAGTA